CACTATCTGGTGATACCTCTATAGTGTAATGCAAACCTACTGCTAATACAGTTTTACTACCACTAGTCACTGTTATTAGTGTGTCTAACTTATCACAGTCTGTGCACCCTATATACGCAACCTCTATATACTCTAGCCATCTATTATCAATACATTTGTACTTTGGAGATATCTATTCCTATATGAACTCATTTTGGAGGATTCCCATATTAGTTACTGAACTCTCTTAATACTGAATGTGGCTATATAGGATAACTCTACCCAGATTTTAAAGGTGTATTATCACTTAATTTGTTTCATACTTTTTTCACTTATGTTTGGGATACACATATATTTCTTATTTATCGCTTATTTTAATATTCGGCTCAATTAAGGTTTATACCACCCGTACAAATTTTTATTTTAAAAGGTACCCTTTGGTGAGTGGGACCCCGCCAGCTTTATGTTTAACGGTGTCCCCATTCTACTCTATTCTCTTTTTTGCTAAATATATGTTTAGTGTTCATGCCCTGGGGTACGTTTGTAACCTCTAAGTGAGACAACAGTGCTGGTTATTTCCTCTCTCTTTTATTCTTTGTTTCTAAACAGGTAGCTTGTTACATCCAGGAAATAGTGCATCATATATATATATTTTTAAATCTTACAGACTATGGAAGGAAGTGTTTTATCATATTTCATGAATTATTGGATACAACCGGGTGAATAAGTAATTCAATAGGCACGATTGTAACGGTAAGGGTGCATAATTCATTGTTGTACTATAGAATATTGCCATTTAATGTAATTTGTGTAGTGCATATATGAATTGGCCATCTGGTAGAGGTAGTATTGTCAATTTCAAAAGGTGTTAATTTGATTGTATGGGAGGTCAGAAGGTTTACAATCAAAATTCCTATTTAAAGCTGGGACCACAACATAGCTACTCTGTAAGGTGTGAGAAGTTACACATAAGTGGCCTGGAAGTATGGTTTCATTATAAACTAACTCTATCATTTGCCATATGTCTCTTAGATAGGGAGTTCTTTGAAATGAAGTCATTAGCTTTCAAGAAAGAAAAACCCTTGTGTTCCAGTATCATATCCAAAAGAAACATTAAAACTTAGACACAGATTAATAATTAGGCCTCATTTTTATTATATTTAAAATGGGACAAGCACAATCTTCTAATCAAGCCTAAACATGATTTGTGTAACTTAACCATTTGGGAAGGAATTGTGATGTCTGTTATATTGGGTCACAATTAAGAAGTGTGACATATCTATGGAATGGAAAAATGTTAACAAATTCATAGATGCAATTATTATTTCTGTGGCAAGTACATAAGAGGAGATAGAACCCAATGTTTCCATTTGGATTGATCTTGGTCTGGAACACAAGGGGTTGTCACTTACTGTCTTTATAGGTATGCCTTGTTTTACTTTGAAAACCTAAGGAGTAAGTGATTAGGACTTCTGTTTTTTTATCCCTTTTGTTTTTATCTGTTGTTGGTGTAACTAATTTGATTGCCATCTATATATTTGTATGCACTGTGACTATTTTTTGCTCATAATAAATATTCCTTTATTAAGTTCTGCCTTTGCCTGGTAAAGAATCACGTTACCTGAACAGACAATAAGTGTGTTTGCAATTGCATAGGTATTGTGCTACGTTGTATTTGGTGAGTTTTTATTATTAAGTTACCTGGGGGACCAAGGCACTCCATTTATGAATTGTCTTGGTGGTGGCAGCGTTAAAATAGTAATATTTATGTTATTGTGGTTAAGTGTGGGTGGTGTTAAGGGGGATTTTTATCATTATTTATGGTCTAGTGCAAACAAATAGTGAACTTTAACCCTTTCATCACCCCAACTACGTGACGCACACACTTGGAGTAGGGTGCATTCATGACAGCGATATTGCAAGAATGTTAAACAATTAAAGATTAACCTATTGGAATAAAACCCTACTGCTCATCACATAGTCCCTATCAATAAACATACTAATGTTCATCAATATAAAGGATAATCACAATTTTCTTTAGACAACCAAGTTCAGGGCTTCATCAAATTTTAAACAATTAAATCACCCCTTGCAAAATAGCTTTATAGATGATCATAGCAGGCATGGATATTTAAAATGTGCATATTTATGAAACTATTTGCCAATGCCTTAAAATTATAATTAATAATGCAATACTGCAGATGGTTAAATAAAGGCCAATCGGCAATGTTCAACGATATCAGTGCAGCTCTGAAATATAACTTTACGCTGGTTTGGCTCCATAGAGGAGAAATAACACAAATTTCCATAAATTTGTCACTACATTGGAGAGAAAAGTGTCCTGTTGTATTCAAGCTTTTGTGAATTTTCTCCTTGTAAAATGAATACACCATACATTAAAATGGCTATTACAAAAAATGGGACTCTAAGGGCACTGTTTTAATCAGCAAATTATTGTATCTCTGCATTGCACCTAACAAATATCGAGAAATAAATGGATTTGCAGGAATCCCAAAACGTATCTATCTGATATGCAGCACGAGGTTAGATGCCACACACTGTGACGTGAAAGACTCATGTTAACAAGACTGCACCTCAAGCAGTAGCTGTCAGGACAGGTGAGGTTTCAGAAAGTACATTTTAACCGATCGCAAGGAAAGTACTTTCTCACACAAAGTTTTATTCACTAAAGTGAGAATTGTCATGGATTCAATAACATATATTGTTACGTTGGTTTAATAAAAGATTTGTGTCCTTCAAGTTCAGCCTTCTCATACCTGTTTTTGCTGTTGATCTAAAAGAAGGCAAAACCCTAGTTTGAAACACTCTCCAATTTTGCTAAATAATTCCTTCTTAACCCCAGAATGGTATTTAGATCTCAAGAAACTGTTATTATTATGTTATTATTTATACCACCTATTAAAAATTATACCCCTCAATATTATGCTTTTGCAAAAATTCATAAAGGCATTAGGTAAAAATATGTACAGAGGCTGATAAAACCACCTCTTCAGGCAGTAAAGTAAAAAAGGAATCTGTCCCTGTAATTAGAAAGATACTTTATTGTATATACCAAAATGGTGAACTATAGACACACAGCCCCTTTCTCTAACTGTCTGACTTAGACAGAAGCAATAACGGTAGTTTATGCAAGGGGCATATGTATAAGGGATAAGGGGAGTGGAGGATGACACAAAAAAGTGAGTCACATAAGTTCACACAAACGATCTGGAGCAGAGCTATTGGCGGCAATCTCCAGTATTGTGGTGTGGACTAAACGGTGGGCAAAGCTAATTGGAAAAGACAGCCAAAAAAATCAGAAGCCGTGATCGGCGTTGGAACTGACAATTGAATAAAGTACTGCTGCCTGTATAGGGTTCTGTTAGATGTGCAGACGGCTTATCTTGCTTAATGACGTCTGGCACATGTACAGCTACCTAATATCGTACCGATTCGGATACAGTGGAAGCCTATATGCTTAAGGCTACAAGATGTCCTAATAGGCATTTGTATGGCTAACTAACTTACAAAAAGGTGCCCAAATTGGCAACGTATGGGTAAGAATCGGCTTCCTAAACTTGTTGCAGGAATATATATAGGTCCAATGAGCGATGTAATACTTGGTAACGTTTTGCTCACAATCAACTGCCTAACACGGAACGTTTGAGATACAATAATAGCCTATAAGTTAGAAGCTACAAAGTGTCCTAATGGGAACACAAGTAGCTAATTTACTTAATAGGAGGTGCCATAATTTACAACGTCTAAATATGAGTAGTGTCTAGTTCTGACTAAACGTGCTGGAAACTGTAAAGTTGGTTAGAAATGCGAGAACTAGTAGACAGGATGGATAGCTTGTTCATCAGATTGGCGATACAATACTGTGCTGCCAATAGTATTGAGAGTTATAAAATTAAATAAAAAATGAAGCACTCATAACCAAAAATATATTATAAAACACCCATCTCTAATTTCAAAGAACCTAACTTTCATTTATGAGATTTTTTGTTAGAATTTATGTAGTGAAAAACTTATTTTGTGCAAAATATTGTTGCTCTGTTAAGATTGTTCTGTATTATTAAAATTAGACACTTGCATGATATACTCAAGATGGTTCATTTAAAGTAAATTAACTTTATCTCCCATTCATTCATTTGCCCTTACAACAACGTGTGATCATAGACTGGAGAGCCATCTCTTCTAGTTATCACATTTTAGTATATCTTTTTATGCTTAGATGTAATTCAATCGATGATATAGTCATATACACATTTATAGTGGTTTTGTCCGAAAACTGCCCTTTCTGGAAAGTAATTCTTACAATAGTTTAGCATATTTTGAGTAAACCTCCTTCACCCATGGGCATATGTATTATATAAATCCCAGGACATTCTTACCTCCATTGAAATAAGCTATGGCCTAAACTGGGTTTAGCTGCTTGTTATGCAATTGCAGAGTGTTGGCATTGTGTGTTCTTGGCTCCTTTATCTAAGGTCAAACAAAAATTGCAAATCATTTTCAGATGAATAAACTGCTTGATTTTATTCATAAAACTCTTCCATGTTTTGCAAAATATAGTACACAAGGTTATAAATAGGGGGATTGGTGAGGTCTGATGCTACTGCACTTTTTTTTTTAAACTCTGGGAGTCAGATTTTTTAATTTTGTTATTTTTGTTGTTTTTTTTGTTTATTTGGTTTTGTGTATAAGTGTATTTTGACTTTGTGCTATTTTAAAGCTACAAAAAGTTATTTGGATATTCAGTGCAATCCTGGATTAACTAAACTGCACCTTTACATTACATTTTTTAAATATTTTATACAAAACTAGATGCAATGTTCTCTGTCATATATTGACAATCTAGAAAGAAAGTTTTGTAAAAGTGAATTTATAATCATTACATCCAAAGAAACACCTTTTTTTTCTATTGGCTCCTATTGGATGTGTTGGTCATTAAGGTTTAGTGTAAGGTAGGATTAGGAACAAGTCCCAAATACATTTATTACAATGAGACTCAGGCATTCATAAAAAAAACTTTCTTTATTAAATATACATTATATACAGTTTCATAGGTCTGTACAACAATAACAGTAGAAAACAAAGGAGAGTTTTTTTTCTGCCAAGACACGTTACATTGTCTATAAATCGGTTTCTCGTTGAGGCAAAGTATCATTTTTTAAGGAAGCCCCTTCTGCAAAACATATTTCATTAACAATGGGAAATTGTATACAAATATGGGTTCAGTTTAACAAACACACTTTGACACTGAAGTGCCAGATTTCCACTAAACTCATTGCACTTCATTGAATTGCTGAACTCTTGGCACACAGAGATAAGATAAGTTGCCTTTTTATTTAATGCATGATAACAGCAGGGGAAAAGGGGGGTTATTAAATTTGGTTTACGATAGGTCAAAGGTAACAAGTATATTTCTGGAGGGACTAATCCAATTTTATTTTTTATACATTGTTAAATAAATGGATGTGTCACGTAGTCCATCGATGCCACAAACATCATCTTATTTTGTCTTAAACATTAAATGTTTTTTAAATTTATTATAATATAGACAAGAGCCATGTCCAACACTTCCTTAATTTAAATAAATAAAAAAAAAAACATGGCTCTAATTAAAATAGTTTTGATTAAACCAATGGGTTGCCTATTGACAACACTCCCATCATTGGGTGTTCCTCTCCCAGGAAGATTGATTGGTGATATCACCACTGCAAATCATAATTCCACCCACATAATGTATAACTTGTATAATGTAATTCTATAATAAAATATATCAATGAATATGGGCATATGTAATTTAAGGCTCTTTTAACCTACCAATTGCTGTTTACTAAAACTATAAATGATAAAGAAATAGGACATTTTTTGTTTTAAAAAAGTGTGGTGAATAGCCTGCACATTTCAAATGATCAAATTTGTGTTGATCCTTTCCATAGAGTAATTTGTTTTCCCAGGTAGGTAATGATCAGCCCTGAATTGAAAGTATAAGACTGAATGTGATGCTCTAGGTTTTACTTTGCATTGTTTTACAAAGCAAACGAAAACATAGCCCATTTATGAACAGATTTGGAAGAGAAGGAGCTGAAATGTTTAATATCCATTACCTAAAAGACCTAAAAGCTAATAGTCACAGAGGTATTGGATCTCTTTATCAAGGAGTCCTGCGCAAATGATCCCACCACTGCCTCCATTTCTTATAATCTAGTGTAAGAGACTTTCCTTCACTTCCCTATAGTAGTTTATGGAGATGCCAGATATCATGTAAAATCGAAAACATTTAATTTAATTACCTATGGCCCCGTTTATGACCAATAGAATCCGGTGATGGTGGCTAATGATTAATAAAAGTGATGGATTGAGTGAATGGAATGGACGGGGATGATCATTTTTCTAAATAGCCCTTCTACTGCTAAGTTCTGCTTTAAATTATATTATGGTTTATGATATTCTTGTAATAATAGATAGTATTCTTGTAATATCCTTGTAATACTATAATGATTTAACAATCTTTTTACATATACTATGTACGTTTTGAGCCACTACCGAAAAGTTATTGTTATCAACATTATGATGTTAGACATCTATAGTTTCATACAGCAAAATAGGTGCCATAGTGTATATCTAGCCATTATTTTTGTCAAAATAATCTCATAATAATGGTAATTGAACCAATGTGTTTAGAATTGAGATTTGCTAACCAATACAAAGAATGTTTAACACATCCAATTAATATCAGCATTTTACAGAATGCACTCATTTTTATCAGAAATGCCTGAGTTTTTATATGTCTGAGATTATGCCTGAAGTAAACAAACAAATATATCAGAAATATCTACAGTAGATATGCAACAGATTTTAAAATAATATATTCTATTATTTTATTGCTTTCCTCCCAAAGTACTCAATGTGCTTAACAATGCCAACTAAATCAGAAAATTTGTAATACATGTTACTAAATCCAAACTCCAATGATACTGAGTGTGACGACCTTGGAATGATGAAACTCTGATTTCTGAAAAGATATCAACCTACAACTCTGAGGTAGGTAGATTAACCAGCAGGACTTGAATATAAAACATCAAGAGATTTAGCGCTTCAGGTAAATGCCAGAAATATAAATATTTTCAATGAACACTCAATATTAGTTCAGTATTATCTTCAACATTGTAATCATTCTTTTTTGAAAAACATTAATTAATTTCACTTTCACAGGTGATATTTCTAATTAATCTCTGAATATGTTTTTGGTGATTTTACCATAATTCCAGTGTATGGATTACAATCTGATAGATTTTCTTCAAAGCAGTCATACCAGAAGCATGTGAGTACCAAGTGTGCTGACAAATGTCTTTCTTAAATAGTAACACCATTTTTAAGACTACATTTTCGGGAATAATTGCTCTAGAAAATATATATTTGTTGAATGCTTAAAATATTGGGTTTGAATCAAATTTTAGATTTTAAACATATACTTTATACACTCCTAATAATATGATAGTTTTGTTAGAACATCACATATCTCCTCCCCCAGAAGTATCCTAATATATTCATGTGTTGAAAAAAGGGAATTGAGAGAAACGTGGATTTTTTTAATAGTAGGGCTGTTGTAATGACTACAATTTATGCAAAATACACATTTAGGGAAGAGTCCACTTAAAAATATAGTTTTAGCAAATAAATCTAGTTTTTTTTTAAACAATACTGTATTTAAGACCACTGCTCCAATGTACCCCTATATAAAATCTGAGCGGGTTACATACCTAATTAACATTATCCATATGGAGAAACTAGAGGCAACAAGAATTTTCTAATTTTCACTGCATATGTTTACAATATTGTAAAAAAAAAAATTGCCACAAACATGATTAATGAATCCCTTAAGTATACCAAATGAGAAGAAAAATCAAGCCATTTTATCAATCTATTGCTTTTATATGAAGTGAATACATGTCTGGCTTAATATATTATCATGCTTCACAAATTAAATATTTAAAAAATAAAAATGTTCTGTGAAATGAACCCTCTTTTGATCTTTAACAGGATTTACGCAAGCACGGTGCAATTTTTAAGATCTATACTTCTCAAACATATTTTCTCTCTAAAATAAGTATTTCAGGAGAGAAAAAGTTTTAAAAAAAGAGATTGCACTGTACAAAGTGTGCCCACATTTGGAATGCAGGTTTGTAGTTTTAACGCTATAGTGTTCCGTTAAAAAAAAGTATAAATTTATTTAATCTGAATACATTGCAAATGGCCATCCTTTGCTAAAGTACACACATTATCTCATATTAAATTACTACTAAATGATGAATCTTTCTGTATATATATTATTATATAGTAAACCTACTTTCTAGACAACCCCATGAACTATTCAGTATTTCAAGAACTTAGACGTTATAAGCTCATTGCATCAGAGCAGTACAGTAAAATCAGCTTTAAACTGAAATGCAGCTTTGATATTTCAGTTGGAAATAGGCATACATTTGAGAATATAACCCAGCCATAGGGCATTTTAAAAATGTAAAACTTCAGTTCTGGTGAATCAATGGATTGCCATCTAATTCTATCAATGTTGAAAGACTTAGCATTGCGTGTATGTTCTGTGCACTTAAACTTGTTAAAATCTTCAACATCATATAAACCACTTTGAATATAATCAGTAAGTTCAAAGCACCCAAAGATTGAAGCTTTTGTGTTACAGGGATTTTAAGGGAGGAAGCGCTACAACAGTTCCTGAGTGAACCTCGGAATTCTGATCTACAAAAAAACCTCAAATTATCTATAAGTACAATGTTATTTAATTTAATCTGTCTAATTCATGAAAATATATTTTTTAACATTGAGAATAAAACCATATGAAAATAGGAATATTAAAGTATTCTAAATCTCATTACTCATCTCCTGGGATCTACTTATGGCAGTAAATTTAGTATGGGGTTAATGTTGATAAGGTGAAATATGTTGCTGATAGTCAGTAAAATCTATTCACTATTGTGAAAAAAGGAAATTCTCATAAAATGTTTGATAAACTGATTTCCTGACAATATTGAGAAATTTGGAAAATTCTGTAATTCTGTATAATTTGTTTGTACTTTTGGGAACATTTGGCATTTTGATTGTAAAACATAAAAAGTAGAAATTTTGTTAAAAAGTAATTTCACCCACCCACCATAGTAATTTATAAATAAATAGATGTGATAAATATTTGCAGGCCTTTTTGTACATTTGTTCTCTTTTTAACATATGTAAATTGGCACAGAGAGAAAATTGATAAAACACATTTCTAATTCTTACTATTTTCCCTTTTCTAACTTTTTACCTCATCCACTTCAGTACTTCACTAAGGGTGGTGATGTAGCAGGATGATAGGGTAACTGTGTAGATTGAGGGGGTAATGTGACAAGCTGACCAGCTGTATGGGGGGGAGAGGAAGTGATGTGACAGTGTGACCTGAGTGTGTGTGTCGGGGGAGGGGGCTTCTGTTAATGTGAAAGGGTGACTGTGTGTGGGGGAGGGAAAAGAGTGATGTGAAAGCATGAGTGTATGGGGGGTAGATTGTATGTGATTAGACTGTATTACCTTGTTCAGTCTACCCGCAATTTTCTGCTTGTTTTGATTGTAGCAAAACCTTCCTCAGCTTTCATTACCCCTTCAGCCACCCTCCAATCGTTCTGTGTGATGGTGGCTTTGTATCTTCAGTGTCTACCTGGCTTCTCTCTTGCTGTGTTTCACGCAGAGCAGAGAGGATGTAATATCATGTATCATCCCCCTTTGTGCTCTATGTGTATATAGGCAGGCAGGGGAGATGGAACTCATGGGCCCCCTGTTCACCCTCCCTGGACAGCAGCAGCTTAGACATGGAGGTCAGGCTGTCAGACCCCCCTCCACTGCTGGAGCTGCACTGAGAGAGCTAACAGTTAGTGTTCAGCTATGTGAAGAAGGTCATAGATTGGAGGCTGCTAGTGCCACTGAGCTGTGACTTTCAGTATTTACAGTAGATATAATTTGCAAATGAAATTTATTTGCAATAAACACATTTATTTAGAAATTATGCAAATTGTGTATACACAAGTGCCGATGTGAAGTGTTTAAAGGTATTCTAACCACATTATGGGGTAAATTCCAAAAATACATCAGAATATATTCATTATACTTTGCTGTCACATTCATTAAATTTCCTTTTTTTCTGACTTAGAGCAAAACTGTAAGAAATACTTTCAAGCAGCCACTTTAAAATACAATCAGTCCATCAGAAATCATTCTACAATTTTGCAAAATGAAAGTTTTTTTTTTCAGTCACGAAACTCAACTATAACTTTTTATAACTAAATATAGTATTATAAAAATAATCTGAAATACCTTTAACCATCAAAACTTTATCTATAATAATTTCTTAGGTGTATTTTGTCCCAGACATTTTTTCTCTAGGCCAGATTAATTCTAACTTGTCACATGATAAGGACAATGACAAGAAAAGGGCTGTTATATAGCAGCTGTTGATTTTTATTTAGAATTATTATAAAAAAATATAATTAAATATCTGTGTATATATTTTTTTTAATTCCAAGCCACATAAGTTGTTTTATAGTTTTCGTTCATTCAGTAGAATGTTTTAAATTACCATGATATAATTTAGCTTAGTTCTCCCGTGAAGACGAAAATTAAATTACTCAATGCCAAAATATAAATATATTACTAAATACACAAATATATAATTTACAATATAGAATTTAATGTATCAATATTGCTTTTACGTCTACTCCTGTTTGCTGTGACTGGATGAAGCATCACCGTATGATGACCTCAATTGCAGCAGTTCAGCTGCTTTTAAAGGGGCATCAACAGAATCCAGGCATAGACATAGCTACAGGTATGATTCACCTTCAATCTTCAACCTCCCTTTATTTTTATATGAAGCAAATAGATAACTACAATATATTTATATATATATATATATATATATATATATATATATATATATATATTGGGCCAAAACAGAGTAGGATTTAACAGATAAATAACTTAGTAGTTCAGTAGTTTTGTTGCAAGTACATATTATAACTTGGGTCTTGGGAGATTCATCATGGGTAATTTCATAAAGGAAGAACAACTCAAAATTATGGAATTGTATTTTTAAAAAGCCATTATTTTGACACAAAGAGAAAACCGTCCTGTTTTGCTTCAACAAGGTAGGGGTACTGCCCATACAGCCAGGGCCACAATGATTCTCCTGAGACAACTTTTCACAGTGTGGATAATTTCAAGAAATTCCAAGATTAATTGTCTGCTCCATTCACCCTACCTTTAAGCTCCCAATTACTTTCTTGTGAGGATATCTGAAGGAGCGGGTGTACGTGAACACACTGTGTACACTTGAGAAGCTCAAGGAGAATAGAAATTCAAGCACTAGAGCGTCAAACATTAACTAATGTTATGAACAATGCAATCGAAAGAGCTCAATTTTGTGAGGCTGCAAATGGAGCTAATTTAAAACATGTCATCTTCTGTACCTAATCAAACAAATCTCAATGTGTTAAGCATTCATTGTATGTAATAGCATTGAAATTGGTTCACTAATAAAAAAAAAGTTATTGACTCATCAAATCCTACTCTGAATTTTGACTCCCACTGTATAAATATATATATGAGAGAGAAAGAGAGAGTATGTGTGTGTGTGTCTACTATATCCTAGAAACTACTATATACAATTTCCACAGTTTCAATCATAACAAAAAATGAATAAAACTACTCAAACAAACAAATAGAAGCTGAAGGGTGGCTACGAATAATTATTATGAATAGCTTTTTCCTTCCACCCCCCCACCCCCCCACCAGAAATGAGGATTTTACAAATATGACCGTAGCTGTACAGATCTCTAATATAAACCTGTATTTTACCTATAAAACTAAATCATTTTCAATCTATTGTGATATCATTTTATTTTTTTAATGGTGTACTAAACTTTAATTGCTGTAGATACATTAATTCTCTTTCCAAAAACAGCCATGTCTTATATAATGGGATCACATCACTGTCAATTAGACATATGACAAAAGAAGTTTAAGCGATTTGTCCAATTAAAATTCCTGGTAATCATTGAACGAAGTGATTCTGAGAATTTTTGCCTTAGTTTTATCTGAGGACCAGAAGTGTAAATATTTGGTTCATTCATAAATGAACTGAACAATCCAAATCAGAATCCTTTTAATACGCACCCGAATCATTAAACTAGATTGTACATGAACCAACTGTGTACACTTTCCAGATGAACCAATTCATTTGGTCGACTAAAAGGATTTTGATTCGGACAATATGGTTTCTTTATGAACAAATTGCATTTTTGCACAAGACTGAGGTTGATTTGGAATCTATCAGGTCCACTATATGTTACCAGGAATTTTATTTGGATAAATCACTTCAAACAAAGTTTTGCATTACTGCATTACTTTTTTAAATTATTACATTATGTGGGGTTGAATAGGATTGATTTTTATTTTTTTTACCTGTCATTCATAACTGGGATATAGAAACTACAAAATGTGAAATGTTATGCCACACAGCATCTGCATAAAACAGAAAAAAAGTATGTATTTAATTGTTATCTTTCTGCTTCCAATAGCTCTGGCTGTATAATAGTTTTAATATGTTTAATATGAATTCCTATTAAACATTCCTCTATTATTATCTATTCGAACACCAGTGATAGCTGACATAGCTCAGTTTGTACATGAACAGATTGTAGAACTTCCTTCTTTGGGATGCAGGGTCAGACATTTATCATTCCAAGGTCAACAAAACAAGTACTATTAAGCTGGATAACCATAGCATATATTAATGAACTGCAGATCTGGTTAAACCTGAGAGTATGTTGAGTCAAATTGAAAGGAAAGCACAAGTAAAGCTTATATTATTGCACAAAACCTATTACGAACCAAGCAAAAGCCCTTCTTGAAACTGAATGACCATCTAAGGACTCCATTTTACAGACAAATTTGAGAATCTGACACGTCATATATGAATTATTCCTAAAGCGTTCAATGAAAATAAGATCTACTAGCTTCAGGATGGACAAATGTGCCCAGTCTGTTTTCTTTACTCTAAAATATTTCATTTTCACATATGATATCTGAATAACAATTATATTTGGCTATCAGAGGTTTTAACGAGATACTTTAAGCACCATAACTACTCCATCATATTGTTGATGTTATGGTGTAAAGACAATATGGGAGATGTTCCATTTTTGCATGGGTGTGATAAAAAACAGGGCTCCCCTGGTATCTATTGCTCACCCATCAAAATTCATATCATTAAATATATCAATTTCCTCAAGCCTGGGCACTGACTATTGGATGAGAGTGCAGCGGTCAAGTTACCCTCTTTGTACCACAACCACTATGCTCAGATGCAATTATCATGTTGCTTAAAGTACAACATTACCTAAGGGAACACACGGGGGGATTTATAAAATGTCACGAGCAAAAAAGTAGGAAATAAGTTGAAGTCACCATGGAAACCAATAGAAAGTCATGCCGATTGTCCCATCTTTAGAATTTGTTACATATTCCTTTAAGTAATACTTAGATTTGCCCCCAATGTTCTGAAATAGATGATACAATTACAAGTAGTGGACGTTAAGTGACATCGCAGGAAGAGTTATCGCTAAACTGGAGAATTTACAAGAAAATAGAAAGTTTAAGGAAAATAGATGATTAGGAAAATTTCTAATCTCAGGAAATTTTTCACAATCAGCTATTTTTACCTAAAATCTTAAAATCATTGTTAACCCTCAACAACTGCCAGTTTATGGAATAACCCTTAGAGTAAGAATATATAATGCCTTCTTTACTTTTAAAAAATGGATAACGATATCAAGTTTTTCTAACAGAAAACAAGATTAAAAAAAAGTAATGACTGAGAGGCACATATTTAGAAAAGTGTAGAAATGAAACCATACACGTTGGATTTAAACCATGCATGTGGGTGGGTGCCCCAATTCTGTTCTAACCAGAGGGGAGGCATCCTAATCAACCAAAATCATTTGTAAGGAATTTCACAAGAAGGAGGCTCCATGAAAAAAAAAAATCTGCCGCTCACTCTTGTGCTGTGCAATTTCTTTCCAGAGCAAAAGGCTGTAAAGAACTGGCTAAAAAGAGCAAAAAATAATAATTATTTATAGAATAAAAATAAAGTCTATTAGATAAAATATTCCTTTTTACACTCGCTGACTGCGTTCTGCAAGTCCATCTCATTCCGGAAGGAGCGCTCGAGGCTGCTGTGAAATTCTTTCTCCTTGGAGTGAGATTTACGATGGGTCTCCTTGTGTTGATAGATAATCTTTATCATTATCGCCATGATGCAAAATATGATAAATATTGTCACTGCAATGACACCTGTTGAGAAAACAAATAAAATGGCATCGAGTCAAGGTCATGGTTTCAACAGAACAAAGCAGGTGCCCAGAGAATGTTTATCAGGGTAAACTGCAGTATTGAGATCACATCATTTTTTTTAAATCAAGAGGCATATTTACTCGGTATTTTTAACTGACAAAACGACAGTAACACTTTAACTTGAATTTTGGTTAGGAATGTATCTGTTTAGAGAAGTTAAAATATAGTATTTTAAACTATTTGCTGTTTCCTCTCTTTTTCATTTTTTAGTTCTACACATTTTGTAGTAGAACTGAGAAAGTTCCTTTAGCATATTCTTGTTTGTTTATTTTCTGTGAGCTTGATTTGAGATTTAGTTGTATTCTTATTGACTAGATTTAATCAATCAATCAATCAATCAGAATGCAGCGTTAATTTAAATTAAGTTTTCCTTTCAATATCTTCTGTCTTAGCCTTCAGCACACATTACTCGTTTCTGACAAACTACAGATCTTTTCACAGTGGTTAAATGTAAAACAGACAAATTGTATTATATATTTATACACACACACACACACACGTATTATAGTGCTTATTATTTACTATTGTTATACAAATATATCATATGCATAGCAAGCATATAAATGTTGGACAAATAGGACTCTGCTGCTTTAAGACCTTATTTTGAATGAAGCAGTACAACTCTCTGTGCTGACAGTCTCTCAGTGCTTTCAGTTTCTCTGACAGCACAGAGAGACAGTCATTACAGATAAATTATTGGTGCAAATAGACTGTTTGCCTGTCATGACAGTCTCTCTGTGCTGACTGTCAGTCTGTTCTGACAGTCTCTCTGTGCTGATAGGAAGACTGTGCTGATAGGAAGACTTATCATAGATAGACTGTCAGTACAGATAGACTGTCAGCATCGAGAGACTGTCATAAAAGGTTGACATTCAGCATAGAGAGACTGTTAGGGCATGCTGACAGTAAGCATAGATAGAGTGTCAGGACAGACAGACTGTTAGAACAGAGAGACTGTCATGGCAGGAAGACTGTTAGCACTGAGACACAGTCTAATTATCATTTTGTAATTAGTGTGAATCTACGAGGAGGTTGCCAGCTCTAATCTGATCCCCAGAGAATTATAATCCAAATGCAACAGGATATATGAGTTCTCAGGGAATTCACTGTGATGTCAGTAATGATGGCGATGGGAATTGAAAAGAAGATGATAAATGTATATTACAGGACTGTATTTGGTGAACATTAACCCAAAGCCCTAGAAAATGCGGTTTTTATACATCACTGTCATTAAAAGGTTGAAATAGCAACTCCAGCAGCAGACAGCTACAAATTAGTTGTTAACAGATTGAAGATTGTTGAGTTTGTTCGCCAAACTCTAAACTGTAGCAAACTTAGATGTGAATGGCTAGATTTGGACTAAAATAGATCAATTGGGACAATAGCAGAGGGGTGCAGTTATCAAGCCAGCTATTTGTACATACATGTTTCCATATAAATTTCAATTGGATACAATTCAGTTATTGGATAAACCCCAATGCTTTAAGTACATTAGACCCTTTTAAAGATGGAAGCTTAAACCAATGTGTTTTCTGATGACAAAATGAAATTGTAGACACGGACAAAGATTTGCATTTGCAAAGTGCGCTATCACGGCCGTAGACATGTCTTTCAAAACCATAACTACATAGCCATCAATATACAATGTATCTTTTTTTATTTTCAGTGATTTCTGATATAACCAGAAGAAGGTGAGGAACCTAGAACCCTCCATCAAGGCCGTGGGTGCTGTCATGCTAGAGGATTGATATAGTGCAAATAGTTAAGGTTTCCTCAGTACAACAATGAGAAGATCAAAAGGTTACAACTCAAGAAGACCGCGATGATAGATTGCTTGTCAGGACCAGGCTACAAAGAAAGATAAGCTGTTCTGAAAATGTCTGCCTTAGAACAAAGGCAATTAAAGAGATATATAAGGGTGTTTGGGATTTTAAATGAAACCGACACTGTAGACTGATCACGAATGACATTCTAAGTGAAGCAATTCAACAAAAATCAGAAAAAATTTAATAAAATGGCACAAGAAAGGTTAAAGCGATAATTAAAACTTCCAAATGAATATGAAAAAATTACTGATTCATAGATTTTTTTTATATAGTGTACGGTATTGGCGAGTAAACAGTGGCCTACTCATGAAAAAAATGATTTAAAAAAATAGAATATAAAATAAAATATGGAGAGCTTAATCTAAGTCCATTTCAAAAGATAAAAACATATTTTAAGAATAGTACAAATATTATTTTGTTCTATGTTTATTTAGAATTTTTTGAGGGTTTGCACAAGCACAATCTACTCTCCACCATAGTGGCATTAACAACTTTACAATTGTAAATTTATCAGTCAATATGTTCCATAATATACCAAATTAATGTTTGTGTGACAGTTAAGGCTTTTGTTACCACATTTAAAATCAGGAAGAGGAAACTAATTTTCTACAGCTTCATTACCTGGTTAAATAGAGAGTTGTGGCTTTTTTCAATGCAACAGGAAAAAATTAAATCTCAATAAAATGTATTATTTGAAAAATCCTGTAAAGTGCGGTCTGACATACGCCGTAGACATATAGGTTATAAGTTTTTTGGAAAGTGGATTTAAGGGGTAAGCTCTTAAAACAATTACAATTTCTAATACAATTATAAACTGATCAGCCACAACATTAAAAACAATGACCAATAAAGTGATTGATTATATTGTTACAATGGCACCTGCTAAGGGGTACAACATATTAGGCAGCAAATGAACAGTTAGTTCTTAAATTTAATGTGTTGAAAGCAGGAAAAAAAATGTTGCAAGCCACTGACAATAGCCAGATAGTGGTGGCTAAATGACTGGGTCAGAGCATCTCCAAAATGGCAAGTCTTTTGGGGTGTTTCTGTATGCAGTGGTTGGTAATTGCCAAAACTTATGCAAGTAAACACAACCAGTAAAATGGCAACATGGTCATAAGCACCCAAGACTCATTGATTCACGTGCGGAGTGAAGTCTAACCTGTTTGGTTAGATCACACAGAAGAACTACTGCAGCTCAAATTGCTAAAAAACCTGATGCTGGTCTAGATAGAAAGGTGTCAGAACATACAGTGCATCATAGTTTGCTGTATATGGGGCTGCATAGCCACAGACTAGCAGAGTGCCCATGATGATCCCTGTCAGAGTGCCTGCAATGAGTATGTGAGTGTCAGAACTGGACCGTGGAGGAATGGAAGGAGGTTGCCTGGTTTGATGAATCATGTTTTCTTTTAGAGTAGGTGGATGGTCTGGTGCTTGTTTGTTGTTTACCTGAGAAAAGATGGCAGCAGGATGAACTATGAGAAGAAGGCAGTCTGGTGGAAGTACTGTTATGCTCTGGGCAAATCTTGGGTCCTGGCATTCATGTGGATGTTACTTTGACACGTAACACCTATCTAAAGATTATTGCAGACTATGTACACCCTTCGTGGCAATGGTATTCCCTGATGGAAGTAGCCTCTTTCAGCAAGATAATGCATAGATTGAGGAACATGACAGAGTTTAGGGTGTTGCCTTGGCATCCAAATTCCTCAGATGTCAATCCAAATGAGAATCTGTGGGATGTGCTAGAACAACAAACACGATCCATGGAGGCCCCACCTTGCAACTTGCAGGAATTAAAAGATCTGCTGCTAAAGTCTTGGTGTCAGACCACAAGATATTGGTCTTGTCGAGTCCATGCCTTGACAAATTAAAAGCTCTTTTGGCAGCACTAGGTGAACTACACAATATCAGGCAGGTGGTTTTAATGTTTTGGCTGATCAGTGTATAATATATATTATGTTGCAAAGCTGTACAATAAGTAAATGTGACAAACAAACAAAATGTGAATGACACATGGTACCAGTAGGTGAAGAGGGTCCTGCCCAAAAGAGTGTACACATATGGGTTACATATTTCTTTATTCATTTATACGTATATAGATTGTGTTACCTCCTATGACAGCTGAATCACTCTTTACAGCATTTGTCAGTGGTTCATGGTCATCAGCTTTTCCAAAGGGATCTAGGTCATAAAAATGGGCAGAAAAAAATAATCACACTTTATTAATTAACGGCTGATGCTAAGACGCGTCTAAATGGATTCACTGTAAAATGTAAAGTGTCCTTGCAGAGAATAATAATTAACATGTATTCACGAGTTTTATTAGAATTCTTTTATAATAATTATTGCATACGTGCTTATTTTATTATACATAATTCCTTGTTTTATCCCTACAGAAGTAGAAAGGTAGACGGAAAAAAACGGTGACTGTGTTTAGGATCCAAAAGGCATTTATTCACCTCATAAATAATTCTCAGATTTATTTTAATAATTTCTTTCAGGTAGCTTTAAACACACCCTAGGCATTATTCAATTCCTTAACATCCCTAGCATTGCCTAGCTGTCCAGCCAATATGTATATTATTTCTATATCATATTTAGTCTTTACTACATCCAATGGAAGGCTATTCCATGTGTCTACTACCCTTTTTATATTATGGCTAGCCTTACTGCTTTCATTGGAAGGCTATTCCATTTAATGTGAGTGACTTTGTTGCTATCGAATACAACTGATTATAATAATTCCTGACTGATAACTATACAAGTTCCTCTTCTGATAGAATCACCCATATCAGCAAACAGATGAGATTAATCACTGTGTTCACATTCTCATTGCTTTGCTCCTTCCCATACTTCATTATTGCAGTGCATTCTCG